TTTGGGCTAATGTTTTTATGTGAGCAATTTGTTAGAACAGATTCTTGTGGCACAAAAGAAGAAGCAAAAACATGACACTCATGTCGGACGTCCGAAAGGAAGCTATTGGACGTCCGAAAGGATGAAGAACATCAAGAAGGAAACTCTGTCGGACGCTCGTGAGGAAGCATCGGACGTCCGGAAGGATCGGACGCACGCCTCGGACGCACATCGATCGCATCGGACGTCCGAGAAATTTCGCAAAGATTTGATGACTCTCTGTCAACGTTCGGACGCAGGGTTCGGACGTCCGACAGGTGGTTTGGACGTAGGGTTCGGACGTTCGACAGGTGGTTCGGACGTCCGACAGGCCAACGGCTAGTTTTGACAGCATTTAATATTTGACCGTTGGAGAGCCTTTTGGAGCCATTTCTCACCTTCTATAAAAACCCCAAAGCACAAGAAGACAAGAGACTTTTGCCAACACAAAATACAAGCTTACAAGTGAGATTTTTGAGTAGAAAGATTCTTTGTTGGTTGTATAAGGGGTTGGGAAAGTTGGGTTGTGAGGTTGCTCAAGTGAAGGTTATTCTCTAGGAGGAGTAAAACCTTGGTGAAGGTGAACCTATCACTTGAAGTGGTAAAACCTTGGTGAAGGTTGCCTCATTTGTATAAAATAGTTCTTAATTGGGTGAGTGATCTTTCAAGTGTAGGTTGTTGAGGGTTAACTAGAATTGTTGTAAAACTCCTTGGCTCAACCAAAGTGTGTTTGGGGTGAGGAAGGAGTGAGCCTTCACTTGTACATCTTGGTTAGCATCGCCATCAATTGAAGAGGCTATTGGATTGATATTTGGTTTGCATTTCTTATCTTTTCTCTTTAATTAAGTTTTCTTTATTGTGCTTAAATTTGATATATCTTTGTGCATTATTGTGAAATTGTTTGTACTCATTGGGTTGCACCGGGCATTACAATTGGTATCAGAGCTTGGTCTCTTTTGATCAAGCTTAACCGCTTAGAGTAAAGATCATGGCAACCATAAAAGTTTCTTTTTTAGAAGGGCAATCTATTGATAGACCACCTATGTTTAATGGTTCTCATTTTAGCATGTGGAAACAAAGAATGATGATTTTCTTACAATCCGTTTATATTGAATTATGGTATGTGGTAGAAGATGGTCCTTATGAAGTTAGAATAGTTGACTCCACCACCAATTTGAGTAGATTAAAGACTAGACAAGAATTGAATGAAAAAGACAAGAGATACCTTTTTTTGAATGCCAAGGCCATGTGTATATTGTACAATGCATTAGATGTAAATGAATCTAGTAGGATTAAAGGTTGTAAATCAGCTAAAGATATTTGGGATAAATTGTGTGTATTTCATGAAGGTAACCAAGATATTAAAGAACAAAAGAAATCTTTGCTTGTTTCTCAATATGAATTTTTCAAAATGCATCCTCTTGAAAATGTTGATAAGATGTGTAGTAGATTTTGTGACATTATTCAAGATCTTAAATTGCTTGGAAAAGAATATTCTTTGGGTGAGAAAAATAGAAAGATTTTGAATGCCTTGCCAAAAGAATGGGAAAACAAAATAAATGCTATAGAAGAGGCAAAGGATTTAAATTTTATATCCATTGAATCTCTTGTGGATACCCTAACCTCTTATGAATTAAAGCTGAAATTCAAAGTGCAAGAGGAAGAAAATGCAAGAATGTATAAGAGAGGCATAGCTTTTAAAGCATCTTAAGTGGGGGATAACCCATCCTTCATGGGTAATGAAATCATGGAAGTGGACAATGATATAACTCCTCACATCAAAAGTTTCAAGAAAATTTTCAACAAGAGATGTTCAAGAGGAGATTGCAAAGTTACATGGGATGAATGCAATTCAAAAAGAGAAAAAGAAGAGTTGGCCCAAATGGCACTAATGGCCGTTGGAGAAGATGAGGTAAGTTCTTATCACTCTTCTTGTGATGAAGATAATGAAGATGATGATGTGAAAATTCTTATGATTAAAATGCATAAAAGTTTGAGAAAATCTTATGCTAAAAATAAAGATTTGAAAACAAAAATAAATGATTTGTTGGAAGAAAACTCCAAACTTTTTCAAGAAAACAAATGTTTGAGAATGGAAAATGATGATTTAAAAAATCAAAAAAGTGTTTTTGATTGCAAAAATAATTTGAAAAGGAAGTTGGAAGAGAAAACAAAGTTTTATGAAAAAATGTTGGAGGAACAAAATTTATTAAAGAAAAGAATTAATGACTTGAACGAGTTTCTCCAAAATGAAAAATAAAAGTTTTCTCAAACAAAAGAAAGCAAATCTTTTCAAGGCACAAATAAGTTTGCTATGATAAGAAGTAAGAAAATTAGTTGCATTAAATCCACTTATGTGCAAAATACTTCTATCATGTGTCACTTTTGTTGCAAATTTGGACATATGCAAAATGATTGCTATGTAAAGAAAAATATGAGAAAAGGCATGAAATCCATGTGGATTGCTAGATCATGTCGTATTAACTCCCAAGGACCCTATAAAGAAAGGGTACCAAATGAAATTTCTCATATTTAGGTACATCATGAAGATTTGATCCAAGAAGTGCTATATGGTTGTAAGTACAATTGAAAATTTTGATATTCAATATGGTCTTGATTTGAAAAATAAAGGGGGAGTTTGTTTTTGATTGATGCCAAAAGGGGGAGTAGGATTTATTGAAATTTCTTTGTATGTTGGCACTTTCTAAGGGGGAGCTTTATTTGAACTTATTTGATAAAAAAAATCTTCATTTTGTTTGTCATCATCAAAAAGGGGGAGATTGTTGACCTTGGTCGATCAATCCTTGATTTTGATGATTAACAAACCAAAATGTAGATTTGGGCTAATGTTTTTATGTGAGCAATTTGTTAGAACAGATTCTTGTGGCACAAAAGAAGAAGCAAAAACATGACACTCATGTCGGACGTCCGAAAGGAAGCTATTGGACGTCCGAAAGGATGAAGAACATCAAGAAGGAAACTCTGTCGGACGCTCGTGAGGAAGCATCGGACGTCCGGAAGGATCGGACGCACGCCTCGGACGCACATCGATCGCATCGGACGTCCGAGAAATTTCGCAAAGATTTGATGACTCTCTGACGACGTTCGGACGCAGGGTTCGGACGTCCGACAGGTGGTTTGGACGCAGGGTTCGGACGTTCGACAGGTGGTTCGGACGTCCGACAGGCCAACGGCTAGTTTTGACAGCATTTAATATTTGACCGTTGGAGAGCCTTTTGGAGCCATTTCTCACCTTCTATAAAAACCCCAAAGCACAAGAAGACAAGGGACTTTTGTCAACACAAAATACAAGCTTACAAGTGAGATTTTTGAGTAGAAAGATTCTTTGTTGGTTGTATAAGGGGTTGGGAAAGTTGGGTTGTGAGGTTGTTCAAGTGAAGGTTACTCTCTAGGAGGAGTAAAACCTTGGTGAAGGTGAACCTATCACTTGAAGTGGTAAAATCTTGGTGAAGGTTGCCTCATTTGTATAAAATAGTTCTTAATTGGGTGAGTGATCTTTCAAGTGTAGGTTGTTGAGGGTTAAATAGAATTGTTGTAAAACTCCTTGGCTCAACCAAAGTGTGTTTGGAGTGAGGAAGGAGTGAGCCTTCACTTGTACATCTTGGTTAGCATCGCCATCAATTGAAGAGGCTATTGGATTGATATTTGGTTTGCATTTCTTATATTTTCTCTTTAATTAAGTTTTCTTTATTGTGCTTAAATTTGATATATCTTTGTGCATCGTTGTGAAATTGTTTGTACTCATTGGGTTGCACTAGGCCTTACAAAAATCATTCTAAAAAACTAATGATCTCTAGTCAATTTTATTCTCACCTATAAGTATGGAGGAATCCCACCTGCAAGCATTTCAATGACACCTCAATTTCAAACTTGTAAGATTATAAAGGAAAAAATAACTAATCATAAAATGAAACTAAATTGAAGTGATCCCATAGAAGTACTCCAAAAGGTTCAAGAAGTTCAATTCCAAGAAAGACATGCATACAAACATGCACAAATTGTATTTCATTGTGATACTTCTTATGTTAGAGAATTGTAAAGGATTGTAGAATTTCTTTATATATATATATATATATTTATTTATTTTTATATAATACTATTTATAAACTATATAAAAGATACGCTGATTTCAAATTCTATATACTCTTAATTCTTAGGAAAATGAAGGTATGTTGTTTAACCAACGGATCAATTTATGCAAAAATTGTGCCTTCTCATTTGTAGTATGAACTTCGCAAAATTCAATAGAGTTAATTAATCTATCAATGTTGGTTTTCGTACTAAGGTTGATTAGTGTGAAGAATGTTCGTACTTTCATATAAAATTATCAAATCAAATGCATAATGTTTGTAAGTATTTCATTTCCAAATCAAAATAGGCATGCTATTACATTTATTTTCTATTATACATTCCTATTTTTATTTTAGGATTTAACTTCCATAAGAAGGTAGTTCATAAATAATGTACATATTTTATCATAGTTTGAACTATTGCTAAACAAATATTAAATTTTAATTATTTTGTTACAAATTTCTTATTTTTTATTCACCTTCCTATTTAATTCCTTTCAATAATGTCGTCATCGTGGATAGCAAGGATATTTATACTAGTCTCGACGTATTAGCGAGTGTCTACGGTCCATGAGTTAGCAAAAATCCTTGGATGAAATACGAGTTGGTACTAGCCAGTGTTAGTAGTAACAGCCTTTCCATGTTGCTAACGAAAATGAAAAGAATGGAGCAACTAATCAAAGAAATCACGAATGAATTTTGAATCAGAATCCGCGTTTAAGGCCAACTGGCCAACACTCCAAACCCCACAACTACCTTCGAACCCCACCATTACGCCAGTTTCGAACGGTTGGCCTCCACTTCCTTGACCGTGACAAAGCAAAACGACGACGCTGACGTCTCCTCCGACATCTGTTCGATTCTTTATTTTATTTCCCCAAATCTTGAAGCAAACGACGACGTCGACAACATACTAGTCTCTCCACTCCTTGCTTGCTTCAGATCTCTCCTTCCTTCTATTATTTCCCTTTTCTCTCCCTTAACTTTCTTTATGTTCCATCTTTGTCCTCATCTTCATAAATACTCCTGGATCCGACAACAACATTTTCCTGAATCAAATGCTACTCCGATTTAACTTTTCTTAAAGGGCTTTGCTTCAACGGCGCCTGTTGTTGCATTTCTGTAAATTTCTGGAAATTCTCTTTTTCTCCAGATTTGTGAAAAATGGCGGTGGCTGCTGGTCCTGTGACGCCTGGAGAGGTTAGTTTCCAGTTTTAATTATTTTGCCGCCGGAGAATTTGAGTCGTTATTGAGATTTGAAATTTTTGTAAATTTGGCTTCCTCATTGAAATTTACATGGGCCTGTAGATGCATATGTACATTTGCATGCGTTTATTTATTTAAATTTTTGGTATATAGAGCTTGGTTTTAGTTGAATTAGTTAGTTTTGCTGAAGTATTTTGAGATTTAACTTGGATGAAACTTGAACATGAGCTCGAACTCGAACTGATGGAGTGGAATTGTATTGAATGATTGGCTGTTGATTTTAGTGTTGATAAGTATTGGTAAGGATTTGGAAGTGGTTGGCATTTTTGTTAGTAAAAAGAAGATGAAGGTGTGGAATTCATACGTAGAACATAACGAAGTGGATGATCAGATAAGAAATGATGAACGATTAAGGAGAATGACGATTGTGGGTTTAAGAGGGATGAAGTTGGAAGTATGAACTTGTGTACGAAGGATTATGTAAGCTCTGAAGCAATTGGAAATGAAATAGATTTAATTTCTTTTTTAGGAATATAATCTACAAAAGATTTTATTGTTTAGAAACTATTTGATCTTGTTTTTAACAACTGGTTGCAAGAAATAGAGGGCATTTTACTTAATTTTAGTGTGTAAAAGTGACTGATTGGTGTGTTGTCAGCAAAAAGTAGCTCGGCGCTAACTAATTATACTGGCCATTTTGATTTGTGACAAATATTAGAGACATACTTTTTAGGAAAAAAGTGAGGTTTTCGGCGGTGTTGTTGGCACATTTTACCTTCAAAACAAATCAGAGTAACAGGTTATCTATTGTATTATGTGGTCATTTTGCAAGGAACACTGTATTCTTGTTTTCGGACACACTGTTCTTACCATGCTGGGTAGATATGAATACACTTTGGTCTTAAGTTTGGTAGGTCATTTCTTACAGCTGCATAGGCTGCCTGGTAAATGTTTTACTTGTACTTATATTTCTTTTTACCTCTTTTAGCCTGTTGGTAGCATTTTTCTTTATGTTGTTTGCTCTACACATTTAACAAGGTTGTTCCTCATGGTTCAGGTGTCATTTCTTCTTGGAGTTATTCCTGTCATCGTAGCATGGATATATGCCGAGCGTTTAGAGTATAAGAAGTCATCATCACCCTCTAAAGTGTAAGCTACACTTGATCAACATTGATAGCTGTGCTAAGTCTGAGAAACAACCAAATAGAAAATAACATATAGTTGGACTAGATAATGATTCGTGAAAGAGAAAACAAAGGGCACTTGTCAAATAAATAGACACCTGCCAAATAAAGTTACGATTTTTACACATTCAGACTAGTTTTTTTTTTGTTGAAATATTAGCTTTTTTTGCCTTTCTTTTCTCTCTTTATTATCCATGTTTGTGATGCCCAAGTCCCGACTTTCTTTTCATGCATTGTTATTTCATATCACTGGGAGTGTAAATATCTTCATGCATCATTTTTTCTCTAAAGATTTAACTACGTATGCAGAAATCTATGGCAAAAAACTTATAAGTTTCATTTATTACTAATGAAATTTCATTTACTACCAATGAAATAAAGTTGGTGATTATAAGACTATTTTCTTTCAGAGGTTGTCGGACATGACATGATATGTATTTATAACCCCCATAAATTACAGTCGGTTTTTGGGAATGCAAATTGTTTATGGAGACAAGTAATCATTGTGTCTGTATGTGGTGGCTTTGGATGAATTTGCTACACATCCCTTTAATTCAAGTTGTTTGGAGTGCCTTGGTATTTTTGCTGTCTGAATGGCAAAATGAGCAGCTTAGTAATATTTGTCTTGACTTTTAAAACATGACCATTACTTTGGGACATTGACAAAATGGAAATATGAAATTGACAATGGGAAGGCGGGAGTACGTATTATGCAACTTTATCATATGCTATTGAATGCGAAAGTGGGGGAATACAGGAGAACGAAAGTAAATTTATGTCTTGGCCTGAATTATCCTTTAATACTTTTAGATATGAATCTTTATAGTCTTCTACAATATGATGCTGGGTAGCTGAACTTTCACCCATTACATTATAGAGATTGTAGAAGCTAGTTCTTAAGGTCGTTTCATCAACTTGAATTTTATTTACAAGTTGTAAGATTGTAAAATGTTTCCAGAACCATGCATTTTATAGCAGTTATATTGCGTTCTTCCAGTACATGGAAATCCTTGCCCTTTATTGCTATGTCTACAGCTAAGGAACCAGCTTTGAAATTTTTTGGCTTCCTTTTCTACTTTTGCAGAATTGCATAAAAGGAGCAAGTTCAACTTGTAATTTAGTAGCCCCAGTGTTAATACTGTCTCTGAATCCACTCTTATTTCAGGCTGGTTTCTACCATTCACATTTGAAATCGAAGAAAGTAGTAATCATTTAGAGTCCAGGCCATTGATTTACTTTTCTTATTGTACTATTCTTCAGAACTCTATAAAACAGAATAACAAAGAAAAAAGAAAAAAGTTGCTTACCTCAAACTAAGTGTACGTGATTAACATTTGGGATATGTGGCAGTCATGTTTGTGTCTTTGGCAATGGGCATTACCTTTTTGTGCCATCACGATCATTGGGAAACTGAACCTTTTGTCTATTTATAATTACCAAAACTGCTATTCTATGTATCCAATCAAAGCAAAATATAGTAAAATTTCAGTTTCATGCTTTCATATGTTGAATTTTTGACTTTTTGGTTGGCAGGCATTCAGACAATAATCTAGTGGAAATGGAAAGTCAAACGATCAAGGAAGATGATCGAGCTGTCTTGCTGGAAGGAGGTCTCACTAAATCACCATCTGTGAAGTTGTCCAGTTCATCCATTAAAACGAACTTAATTAGGTCAATTTCTTATGATTTTTATATCCCTTTGGAGCATTTTTAATTTCATAATCTTTGAACCATCTGACTGAGTACTTAATTTTCTAGGTTCCTAACAATGGAGGACTCGTTTTTGCTAGATAATCGAGCAACCCTTAGAGCAATGTAATCAATTTGGTTATATTTTGCAATTTTTTGTGACGTGTATGACTTTGACTTAATTGTCTCACAGATGATGTTACAATTTGATTTAGGTCCGAAATGGGGGGAATTTTGATATATTTCTACATGTGTGACCGGACAAATTTGTTTGCAGATTCTACGAAGGTGCTTTATATCTTTTCATTTCTCTGTGTAGTCATCATTAAGTTTTATTGTCATTGCTGTATGGTGGTCCCAGATGGTCATTTTAATTGTTTGCTAAGTAAACTTTTGGTTGATTTCAATGTATGCCTGTCCTCAATGTTTGGAGGTTTAAATATTTCAGGAACTTTCAGTCCAAAATAAATCCTTACAAACCCTTATATACTATGGAAAATGGGATGCTCATATGTAAACTTAGAAGAGAAAATATGATTCAACTGAAGTTTTGGTGTTTCCTTTTGTATGTCTTCTGTGTATGTGCAAGCAACTATCTAAGGATTCTATAAATATCTGGCATCTCACTGTTAAAGTTTCTGGTACATTCCTGTTTATCTCCTCAGAACTTTCACCTTATGTGAGTTATATTTTAGAGCATCGGAATTTAAGACAAGGTGTTTTGTTGAAATTTGTTGTTTTAGGACCACTAGATTACAGTATTCCTCTTTTCAGCACTTGTGTGGTTTTGCAGGATGCCAGTCAGAGGTGTATCTGTTCTTGGATTTTAAAGAAGTTATATCCAAAACAGTCTTTACTGACTTTTAGATTTTAAATTTGTTTTAAATGGTCAAAACTGATGATTAATTTGCTTAATGGTTTGCTATCTTCTGTTTGCTCATATTTTATAAGAATCTACTGCATCTTTTCAGTAGTTATGTTGCAATTCACATGTTTGGTTAGCGAGAAAGTGGTAATTCAATTTGTTCTCTATGTCTTAGAGGATTTAGCTTGGGAAAATTGAACTCTTCTTGTCTTTGTTCACTTACTCAGGAAAGGCAATGCTAGGTATGTTATGCTAATTGAATTGCCTAGTGGTTATGGAAAAGATCTCATAAAGTTCTTTCCTAACTAATTCCTTTTCTCTTTGACTACGAGAGCAATGCTCTGTAGATCTGTTGTCGGTGATTGCTATGAATGTGAGGCTATGGTTAAACTTTCCAAAATCATATATTTCCATCCTCAATTCAAGGTGAATAAGTGATGAAGTATTGGAGACATGTGGCATTTGAAACTATGCTATAATTTCTTCAAGCTCTATCCTCTTGATATTTCTTGTTTTTGGTATCGCAGTTCTACCAGCAACCCCTTGCATCTTCTCTTCTTTCAAGTTTTATTTTACTTTTAAACCTTTCTTTCCTTCTTTCTATCACCCTTCGGAGTGGAAATCCTTCTGCACTTTTTCTTGTTTCTGAAATTATTGTGTTCCTTTTCATCTAGCAAGCTATTTGACTGATATATATGTATCCGAGTTTTCAGCTGCCAATTCTTGTACAGTCGATCATAGTTTCTTAAGTGAACCAAAATTAGTACTAGAGACTGTTTTATAATTGTTACTAATTCAAGGATGTTATGATGTGCATATCGCAAAAGGGCTGAATGCACTAGCACCAAACACCCCCCCCCCCACCAACAACCGAAACAAAAAATTTTTTTTTTTAATAGATGCTACCCTTGCTTAATATTGTTGGACAAAACTGCCGTTGCAATTTTATATCATGATTATGTAATCTAAATTATATTGTTTTTCTCTTTTCTCCTTCTTCCTTTTTTTTAATACATACTTTTGCTTATTCTCCTTTCTCTCATGCTACCAGCTGCGTGATTCCTTTCCTATTATTGTTTGCATACTTATGATTAAATTTCTAGATTTTACTTTATCTTATGTTATTTTTGTTGTAATTTTTTTTTTTTGGAACTACTAACACATATAAACTCATAGCATAACAAAGTACTTATATTTATTGCTTTGCTAAGCATATTTAATTTTGAAATTGAAGTATTTAAGCAAATATAAGCAGACGGGGACTTACACCATCAGTTTTTTATAGCAAAAGAAAGTAAGCAAAGAGTCTAACCGCCATTTTTATTTACTTTTGATACTCTACTATTTAACAAAGAAAAATAGTTGATGAAACATTATATTATGATTAATTAATTTGTTAATTTTTAAGCTCTACTTTGCTTTTGGTTTAATATATCAAACTGCTATATGGAATAGGCTTTCTAATAGGTACCATATGTTTTGTTATGATATAGATATTGCGATTAATGTCACTAGCAAAAATAACTGAACAAAGTAGAATAAACTAAAAGAATAAATAAAATTAGATGAATATTAATTCTAAATGAACAAAAAGTAATAGTAAAGGGAATGAAGTACAGCTACTTAGATGAGAAAAGGGAGAAAAAGAATTAAAGTGGAAAAAGAACAAAGAAAAAAATGGAAAAAAAAAGGCAGAATAAATAGGAAAAATTTTCGTTTGGTAGGGGCACTTCTTCCAAAAAACTCAAGCAGGGTTAAATTCGTATCAAGAATAGTTTTTTTTTTTTGGCGGGGAGGGGGGTGTTGAGGGGGTGGGTGGGGGAGGTGGCTGGTTAAAGTGCAACTGGACTAAATTTAGGAGGGTTTTGTGCATATCCTTCTCGAGAGAGTTGTAAGCTTCATTTGGCATGTCTTATCCACCACTGCAAGCTACGAGCTTGGTGTGAAAACTAAACTTGTTGGCTATGTTAAACATGTCTTAGGCAAATCCTTATGAATTTCTTACACCTAAATGATTGAAAGAAGCTGTATCTAAATATTGCATGATCTTGTGATCCCATGATTTGATCTTAAAGACCCAGGACATCCTATTGTGGCCTTATTTATGAAATTTTGGTTTTGAATTGGCATTCAAGTCCATTTTGCCATTTTTTAATCAAACTGTGCAAGTTTTGTGAATTTTGAGGCTTTCTCACTGGGAACTTTTATTTGTATCAATATTTGTCTGGTAGAATCGAAATATGGTTGTTATTTGCTCAAGGAGATCTAGTTTATTGGTGTGATGGTTTTTCTTTGGACACACGAGGTTTGAGCACATGTTTATTAGTGCATGCATCATAATCAGTTTTCTTTGTTTGTTGGTTGTTTTCTATGAACAGAGCTACAATCGGGATCTTTTCCTCTTTCTTTACATTCTTCTTATCATAGCTTCAGCAATGACTTCTCTGAAAAAGCATCATGACAAGTCAGCATTCTCTGGGAAAACCTTGCTTTACCTAAATCGCCATCAGACAGAGGAGTGGAAAGGATGGATGCAGGCAAGTACTTCCGCTCTGTGTACATGCAATGCTGTTCTGGATTGTATGCAAAGAATGTTCCTGAACCTCTCTCTCTCTCTCTCTTCCATTACTCCCCTCAGGTCCTTTTAGTTAATCTACTTGTGCGAAATCTCTGCTCACTCCTGTTAGCTTAGTGGTCTCTTTGCAGTTTCTCAGCCGCATACAACTTTGGTTTTTTTAATAGTTAGCATTCTATGCATCATCCATACTGTTTTGACTAATTGTGTTTCTTCATGTTCTAACCAGGTCCTATTCTTAATGTATCACTATTTTGCGGCAGTTGAGATATATAATGCTATTCGTATTTTTATTGCTGCATACGTCTGGATGACTGGTTTTGGTAACTTTTCCTATTATTACATCAAGAAGGATTTTAGTCTGGCTCGGTTTGCTCAGGTAACTAACCTCCTACACTAACGTTTCTTGTTTTCATGTATCATACTACTAAAGTAGCTATGAGTGTGTATCTTATTGCATTCCCTTTTATCTTTAAATATATGATTTTTTTTATCTCCTTTATGCAGATGATGTGGAGGCTAAACTTTTTTGTGGCATTATGTTGCATCATCCTTAACAATGACTACACGCTGTACTATATTTGCCCCATGCACACGCTTTTCACTCTGATGGTGTATGGTGCCCTGGGTATTGGCCATAACTATAACGAGATAAGATCAGTTATGGCTTTGAAAATCTTTATGTGCTTTCTTGTGGTAATTGTGATATGGGAAATTCCTGGAGTTTTTGACCTCATATGGAGTCCTTTCACTTTTCTACTAGGTTGGTAACTCTTCCAGCATTTATCTGCTATTTTTTGTTTCTCTGCATTCTTATGCTTGAGTGCACTTGGATAATTTGTTATGTACATGGTAGATAGACATAAGAGAATGCTGAACCTTTTAGCTTCCAATTTGTTTGGTCTGAGAAATTTGGGATCACTTATAAATGATTTTTATACATTCCTGTGGGGAGTTTTACTGCATACTAGTTTTATAAGTGCACTGTACCCTGAGGAAATGTGGAGAGGAGAATTTAGGGGTACATTGTCTTTTGCTTGTTAATTTGGGAAACTGCCAGTTGCGTAACAGACAGATTTAGCTACAGGAAACATTTTTTTGCATGTCGTTCCTTAAAATCTGGGTTTTGATTGTGTAATCTGGGAATGTTGTAATCCTGTTTGTAAAGGCTGGGAGACTTGTTTGTTTGTTTGACAAATGCATGAGCAGAGATCTTGCCATGTCAGACTGCAAAATGTAGTTGACTGTTCTATTCTCACAGCAAAAGTTATAACTGAAAGTAGAAAGGAGAAGAATGACATCAGTAGTAGTAGTATTTGAAAGAATGACAGTTGCATAACTGATAGTTAGTGGTAGCAGCATGAATAGTGTTAATTGACAGTTAAAAAAAAAAAATTGAGACACCAGCTGCATTTTTATAGTACATTGGGAGTTGAGAACCTGAAAATTCTTGTGCTCCCTGGCAGAGTACACTGATCCTGCAAAGCCTGATCTTCCTCGACTTCATGAATGGCATTTCAGATCTGGACTTGATCGCTATATATGGATTATTGGAATGATATATGCCTACTTTCATCCCAATGTAATGTCCAATGTATATTGTACATCTGGAGCAAGCTTATGCTTTTCAGTTTGGAGCAATTACATTGTGGTACCTTATGTTGTCATAGGTTGAAAAGTTGATGGAGAAATTGGAGGAGTCTGAACCCAAGCGTAGACGAACTATCAAGACATTCATTGTTACAGCTTCAGTAGTTGTAAGTTGCCTTTTTTTTTGGGGGGGAGGGGCGGGTTCTACCACCAATTATTGGAATTTTAATTCCCTTTTTTTGAGGCTATTACATGTTCTTAATTTGTTGCTCTGAATTAACATTTAACATTTGAACTATCTTTCAAGGTTGGGTACTTGTGGTATGAATATATTTACAAGCTGGACAAGGTTGCTTACAACAAGCTCCATCCATACACATCATGGATTCCCATAACGTGTGTATTACTGTTCTTACTATAGTTGAGCTTTACTATGCAATTTTGTCTCAGTTTATTACTGACATCTCTTTCTTTTCTTGCTAGTGTTTACATCTGTTTGCGGAACTTTACCCAGGAGCTTCGAAATTTCTCATTGACTCTATTTGCGTAAGTCATTCTCTCTCTCTCTCTCTCTCTGGTTATGCAGGTGCGCTCGTGTATTTCTGCAAGTTATCAAATTGTTAGGTTTTAAATGAGGCCAAGCATTTACTTTCAGGCTTCTCTGATCGTTCCATTGCTTTTATACTAGGTGGCTTGGCAAAATTACTCTAGAAACTTACATCTCACAGTTCCACATATGGCTGAGGTACGGGTCTTTAATTGTTTTGCATCAATTTGTACAGGAAGATACATGTCACCTATATGTATGCAGCAACTGACAAAATTTCTTATGAATGAATATTTTTATTGGCTCATTCTACTGTCATTTTTTATGTGAAAAAATAGGGGACGGGTCCAACAGCTTTCCTTTTTCATGCATAATGTGTTCTTTATATTATCCATTCCCGGTTTTCAGGTTAATCTTCATATTTCTAGTCAAATTAGTTAAACCAGTCAAACATTTTGGATGCTTCTTTCTCTTCTGCCGTAATGGAAATGGATTATGAGAACAAGTTAATTGCAGAAATCAACATGCTATAAGAGCTAATTTCTAGAATCGATCATGTTTACTGCATTTTAAGAAACCATCATCATCTATGGGCAAAAATTTTTACTGATCAAAGAAGTAACACACTCAATTAAAAATTTCTAAAGTGGACAAATTGTTTGAGAGATTTGCAATGATTTTGATTTATAGAAAATGTTCAAATGTAAGATTTAATTTAATAGACTGGATAAGTATATAATTGAAGAATTGTTGCTTGTCGTGGTATGTAGATATATGATAATCTTTGATGTACTTTTCTTCTTCCTGATGGTAATTACTCTTGTTTATGCCTTTTTCCCCATTAGATTACCAATCATGGTTTCATACCTTTTCGGGCATACTTTGGCTGTAGTTCTGGTCTAGTTGGGGAGGACTTAGTTGGGAATGCTAGGAAGAAAAGAAGGGAAATATGTGTCAAATTTGGTGAAAATTCTAGTACTAGCTCAGAAGTTCCTTATTTTCATTTGTATATACCCTCAAGAAATCCTTTTTAACAATTAAATAGAAGAAAAATGAAAAATATGGAGAAGGACAAGGAGAAAGGAGAGTGAAGAAACCAGCACCGATAATTCTGCCTTGTCAGATACTGAATCAATCTTAGGAAATGGTAAATGTGGGTAACTTAAAGTAGAGAAAACATTGGTCCGTGCTTTGTTTATCAGCCAACTGCTGTTTGGTTTGGTCAGATACTGCATTAATTTCAGGAAATGGTGAATGTGGGTTACTTATATTAGAGACAATTTGGTTCGTGCATTGGCTACTTAGCCCTTTGTCAACCAACTGGTGCTTGTTCTGATTTCTGACATAATATTGGATCTGAAACTTGTGTCAACAAGTGTTAAAGTAACACTATAGTCAAGCAGTTTACTCTTATAGTAATGATCTGTGCTCATCCTCTGTGAAAAACACGAGAATTTAACCAGTCATTTGTTATGAAAGTCTGATATTCTTTTCAGTTAGAATATTGAGTTTGGGCCATTTATTTATTTGGTTTTTCAAGAAACTGAGGATTACGACTGTCAGAAGTAATTGGAAGATACATATTCATTTGAAAAGTTCTAAATACTACTCAAAAATTGAATATCGTAGCACTCACCTCTGCCTTCATCTAGAAATGACAAACACTGTTGCTGAATGCTTAACTTTTCTTTCTCGTTATGTTTGCTGAACTTGAAAGAATATTATACATCTATCAGTGGAACTGAATGGCCAATTGTGAAGCCTATATTCTAGTAATTCATCTGAAAACCAAAAGAATGACAGAAAAAAGCTAATATGTCTAATTAGGCATAGCAAAATAATCATAGTAATGTGCATTAATTAAAACTTGAATACCGTGGGCCTAGATAATGTGGAGGCAAATGCTGTTAATGGTGGTAATGAAGAAGTTGAGGATGAATTAGAAACTTTGTTGGGAGAATTCACTGATGCACAGGAATATTGGGCCCGTTTGGAACCTGAGTTTTTTAGAAGTTTGTCTAAAACTTTACTGTAGGTCACTGTAGAAGTTGTAAAAAAACTTACTGTACAAATTTTTTAAAAACTTTACTCAAATTAATTCTAACAGATCAATGTTAAAAAATTAATTAACACGTTACCCAAATTAATCAACATGGAGCTTTCAACTCTGTCCGAAATTGACACCAAGTATAACAAATCAACGGAGGGGAGGGCAATTAACTCAGCAGCCTTTCTCCAAATTTTGGCTTATTTAATACCAAAACCTTAAAGAATCCAAGACCGCAGCACGCCATATACAAGGAGTAATCAACAAAAAAAATCCAGAAAATGCTTCTGGCTTGCTGCGGTTTCAGTTCCAAAAATTGAAGAGTGGCTGGCTCAAATCTATGCTACTGGCTGAGGGGAACTTTCCTAAACGGAAGCACGGCAGTCTTTTGCTTTCGGACTGGCACAGCCGTTTGTCGGAGGGACTGAATCAGCTAAGCCGAACCTTCGTTCACCTTCCAATCAAGCGTCTACTCTGCAGGTCAGAGCTGCAGTTGTTTCCCGCCGCTTCTCCAAGCTCCGATCACCTCCACGTCGAATGGCCAAATTGCGCAGGTGAGCCGGGTAAATTGCTGTACAGGGCACCGCTTCTATGAGTTGAAAAAATGAGGAACAGTCCAAGCAGTGTTTTTTTGGCAAATCGTGGGGTTTCAAAAGAAGATGCGGCAAAACGACATCGTTTTGCTAAAAGACTAACAAGGAAACAAACGTGAGTTTTTTTGAGTTTTTTTGAGTTCCTGTAGCAAAAGTTGTATAAAAACTAGTAGCAAACAAACTTGCTCAAAAACTTGGGTTCCAAACACCCCCATTATTCTTCATGTGAATGGGATGGAAAAAATTTTGAAAGACTTTTAATTGATGTTCAATAGGAATTATATCAAGGTTGTGAAAAATATTCTCTATTCCATTTTATTGTTAACATACTGAATGTGAAAGTAATAAATTATATGACGAACAAGGCATTTAATATGATGTTAGAATTGTTCAAAGATATGGTTCTAGCTAGTGAAATAATTGCTACTTCAAATATCAAGTACATAACAATTTAATGATAAACAAGTCACAAGTATGAAAGATAAACGACATAATATTTAATGTGGTTCGACTTCACCATTGAGCCTACGTCTACGGAGAGAAACCCGTTGTTTATTATGAGAGGAAAATTCTATGCAAGAATACAACATGAACCCAAGTCCAACCCTTATATACCATCTCTCATCTCCCAAAAACTTTCGCTTACTCCTATGAATAAGGCTACATATCGCCTCTTGTGTGCCCTTATGTGTTTTTGTGTAGTATGCCAACACATATTTATATGGAATATTATCTAGTCAAAAACCCAAATAACAATGGAAAACCAGTTCTAATTTCTAGATTTGTATAAAATAAGAAATAACTTCTAATTCTAAATAAAATATAAAATTTCTTGATTACTACTTCAAGTAACTAAAACCAATTAGGAAACTAATTACTTCCACATAAAACAAAAACTTACCTAAAAGAAATTAAGCCAATTTTCTAACACCTAATCAAAATGATATGTTGTATAATTAACATGATGAACATTACAGGAAATTGGTCCATCGAGTTGCAGATGGATATCTTGCTCCCCAAGTTGATGACTAGCCCGAGGTTCGGAGCAGGATAAGAAAATGATCCATCTGAGACAACTGCTGTTAAGGTAGGTGAGGTTGACGAGAGCAAGACCGAATTCCCTAGCACCATGTGTAATGAATTAAATAAGCTGCAGATGATTGCCTTTGTCTCAGCGCAATAGGCCGATATTGTCCCGTAAATGGTTCCCAAACAAGCCCCTATTTTCTACTTCGAGTGATTTCTTGCTTTGAGTCTGAGTAATGGCTTCAGGATTGAATTGGGAGGAATGTAGCATAACATTATGAGTACCATACACTATATATTAGAGTGGTTGATGCTAAGGATGGAAATAAGCTAAATAAGTCAATAAGGTAATTATGGATATCAGGAATTGAGAATGTTGTCCATCTGGGTGCTGCTGCTTTGTTTTTTTCTATGGGATAATTTCAGAAACCTCCCTTGAGGTTTTTGATAATTTCACTTGACTCCCTTGAGGTTTCAATAATTACATATACCTCCATTGGTCCAATCAAATGACTAAAATATCCTCCACTTAATAGTTAATTCATAAAGGGACATTTAAAGCCAAAAAATACTTCTTATTATTATAGTTGTCATTTCCTAATTTCAAAAAATAATTTTCATCAATTTTCTAATTTCATCTCTTCCTTCCTCACTCCCTCTCTCTTTTTGTACTACAACCCCTTCTCCCTCTCACCAATATCGCATTCCGTTGTTATCAACCATACCACTATCAATTTTTTACCAATTTCAAAATATATCTATGTTTTTTCTTCACGTCTCTTTTTTAGTATAAAAATTTTAGACCCTTTCTTTTTCTTTTTCCAATAGTTTTACTCTTTACAAATGTTAACCAATTGAAATTACCAAATTAACAAGGAGCAGATTGTGAATTTTATTGTCAAATGAAGGGAAAAAATGAAATTGATAGTTGGAACATAAAGAAGTGACTATTATGTTTGTTAAGCAAAAAAGTCTAGCAATTACTCATTAGTTATCTCTTTTATTTACTTATTGATTGTGATATTACTATAGAGGTAGACTTTTGTCTCTATTTCTAAGAGTGCTAGAACAATAATGAATTATGTTTTTAGGGGGGCATTTCTGAGTTTAGTATTGGTAGTAGTGATAGTGAGTTGTATTAGGCAAAAATTAGCAAGTAATGAATTTTGAAATGAATTGGAGTCATTGTACTTTATTTGTTTTAATGAGCATGACACATATAAGAAATTAAAGATTAAAATCTTGTTTTGTTTGGTTTTGTTCTTTAAAGAAGGGTATTTCAGGATATTTGTGAAAAATTATAAGCTATTGGGTCTATATTTTTACATAAAGCTTAAAAATAAGGGAGATATATATAATTTTTAAAATTTGAAGGGAACTCTGTAATTGTTGAAAATCTCAAGGGAGGTTTTTGAAATTATGCCTTTTTCTTTCTTTCTTTTCTTTCTTGTTGGGGGGGGGGATTGTTAAGAAACACAAGATTCGTTTAGGTGCTTATTCGCACAAGAATGTGACCTGTCATTTAAGAAAGGCTTGACAAGTTGCGCTGACTTCAGAAAATGGGATTTCCTTTCCTTAAAGGGATAATTTAATAAACATTTCCTGAGGATTTTAATAATTTTACTTCACTCTCCTAAAGTTTCAAAATTATACGTAACTCCCTTATCCATTTAAAATGACAATACTAACTTTAATATTTTTAATAAAACACTCGTGTTGCCATGTATATGCAAAAGATGGATTTTATATTTTTGTTACCATTTCTTATTTATTTATCTTATATTTCATTAGAAATATAGAAAAACTATCAATATTGTCCCTAATATCTATCCAAATTAAACGTTAAACTAATAATATTTTTTATAGCTTTTAATATCCTGCAATTTTTTTTTTGTAACTCTTTTTTTTGGGTATCAAAATCAATGATGAAGTCAACAATGATTAAAAATAAAAGGCC